CTAGTGAAACATACAAATGAAGTTGATCTGTATCAAATATTATTATAAACTAGAAGCCCAGTGTGCGAAATTGTGCAGCCCTGGCCACCCACATACGCCTCGCTGCGCACGCAGCCCTGCCCACCTGCGCGTGCCTCGCGGCGCACGCAGCCCTGCCCACCCGTGCGCACCTCGCCGTACGCACAGCCTCCTGGTGACCGGTCTTTGGTCGTTACAGTGTCACAACATCTGGGTTTTTATTATATAGATACTATGTTTAAAAGGAAAAAATTCTTATAGAAGGTAATATAGCATATCAGATCCAAAATAATTATGTTGTTTGCAGCTTTATTAGGATCTTTAATCAGACCAAACTAAACACTTTACAGTTGAGAAAAGGAAAAGGAATTAGTACTGATCTCATAGACCTAGGTCACAGGAAGTCTCTAAGAAATTTTGAATTCTATCCTTGACATCATGTAGAAACTGTGATTGTTATAATTTCTTCTGCCTTAGCTCATAGTCATAGCCTGAGATAACATAGATGGAAGTGAAGTATACTTCATTCCTATTTACATACAGAGATTTCTGTTTCCTATTCTTTTTTATAAATATATATGTACTAGAGGCCTGGTGCATGAAAATTCGTGCACTCTGGGGGAGTCCTTCAGCCCGACCGACACCCTCTCGCAGTCTGGGATCCCTCGGGGATGTCCACCTGCTGGCTTAGGCCTATTCCCCGGGGATCGGGCCTGAGCTGGAAGTCAGACATCCCTCTGGCAGCCCTGGAGCCCTCAGGGGATGTCTGACTGACAGCCTCGGCCCACTCTCTGCAGGGAGTGGCCCTAAGCCACAGTCGGACATCCTTAGCGCTGAGGAGGAGGCGGGAGAGGCTCCCACCACCACCGCTGTGTTGGCAGCCGTCAGCCTGGCTTGTGGCTGAGCGGAGCTCCCCCTGTCGGAGTGCATTGACCACCAGGGGGCAGCTCCTGCATTGAGTGTCTGCCCTCTGGGGGTCAGAGCACATCATAGTGACTGGTTGTTCCTGGTCGTTCTGCCGTTAGGGTCAATTTGCATATTACCCTTATATAGGATTGATTTCAGAGAGGAAGGGAGAGGGGGAGAGAGAGAGAGAGAGAGAGAGAGAGAGAGAGAGAGAGAGAGAGAAATATCTATGATGAGAGAGAATCATTGATTGCTGCCTCCTGCACGTCCCACACTGGGGATCAAGCCCACAACCCAGGCATGTGCCCTGGTCTGGAATCAAACTGTGACCTCCTGGTTCATAGGTCAACACTCAACCTCTGGGCCATACTAGCCGAGCCTGTTTCCTACACTTGTACTAACCTGAAACTATGAATTCTTATAGCTTCAAAGTATATAGCAGATATGCTGTTTGTGCACTGTTGTTGTTTTTTAAATGGTCTTGTGATACTGATAATATGGGAAAAAGAAAAGAGTAACAGTATTGGAGACTCAAATGAGCTATGAGGGGGAATGTAAACAAAACATTCTGATTTTTTATTTATGAGAATCAACTTCTATCTAAGATGTTTATATAACTGCTAAGAAGCATCTAGCAACCTTTAAATTTCTCAAAAACTACAAGGTCTCCAACTTTCTCTTTGGTAGTATGACTTAGAACAAATCCTGAAACAGCCCCCTCTAACATTTTTATGGCTGGATAGATCTTCCTTTTTTAAAAAAAATTAGAAAGAAATGACCAATTCCATCAAAAGCCTATTTTTCTAAAGCATCATAGATTAAATTTTTTGCTTTTAAGAAATAGAATTTTTCAAATTGATATTGGAGCACAGTATACCTTTACAAAATACTTTAGGAAGGTGAATGTTACTGTCACTGATTGTGGAAACCAAGATTTTTGACTCTGACCCTTGTAAAGGTTGTCTTTCCCTGGGTTCCTGTCTGTGGAAGAACAGTTTCCTGAAAGAGTACCATACTTTCATATTTGAATAAAAGTTACTTTGAGGAACTTCAACATATATTGATATGTATTTTGTATTCATTAATCTTAATAATTTGACTAGGAAAAAAACCAAGTAAAGATGCTGAATCTTTTTTTTATATGAATCTCTATATGTTACTGATACTATAGGAAAAACATTTCCTTTTAGATCTTTATATCATGGCATGCATAATATAGTAAGTGATGTCTATATAAAATTAACTATAAAGTTTATATACTGTGTTCATCTTAGTTTATGGGTCCCATGTCTTCATTTATTTCCTTTGAATAGTTAAAGGGTATTTATGTTAAAGATCCTTTACATTATTAGGTTATTTTGGTCTCTGAGGAATAAATATCTTTGTTGTAGTCATGAACTGTTTCTCTTGGTGGTGGACAAGTGGACTTAGTGAAGTTTGTCAGTAGTTTATCTTCAGTGGGGAATTACATTATACAAGAATGCCTGCAGTGCCCTGCATGTGGATACATTCTTATCTAATTTGGGGGCCCCATGGAGTAACTCAGGCAGTATAAATATGGGCCTAATTTTTATAGCCTGAGTGGATCCCTCACTTCTTGTAATCCTGGACAAGCCAACAGAGATTTTCCTATCTCTGTATATAGACTGTGTTCTATTTTTTCTGGTTAATGCTTCATCTAGGAAGCTCAGTTTTAGTTCCCTATTATGCAAAAAAACCTAAAACTCAGCTTTTAGTAGCTCATGATTGCTTTAATTGCTACTCTCTGCATTGGTTATGATTATGTTCCCTCCTTATCTCTGGTAGTTGGAAATTTCTTTACTTCAAATATGATATGTAGTTTTAAAATTTGTCTTTTCTTTTCTCAAGATCATATCAAACACTTCTGTATGTAGAAGAGGGAAGAATTTCTGTTCTGTTCATCCTGAGTGAAGGTCATAATGATTATCTTTTTTGTTGTTATTAATCCTTACCCAAGGATATTTTTGCATTGATTTTTAGGGAGAGTGGAATAGAGGGGGAAAGACAGAAAGAAACATCGATGAGACATTAATTAGTTGCCTCCTGCATGAGCCCCAAGCAGGGCTGGGGCCGGGGAGGAACCTGCAACTAAGGTACATGCCCTTGAGCAGAATTAAACCCAGACCCTTTGGTCCGCAGGCTGATGCTCCATCTACTGAGCCAAACTGGCCAGAGCCATAATGATTATCTTTACAGAGCTAACAATTCAGAATGCTCCTCAAATCCTTGTTCATTTCTGCAGAAATTGACTTAATGTAGGTACTCAAGTGCACTTAACATGCTGTATGCAAATTGTACTTTCTAGTAGTTACATACTTATAACTACATGTGTAACTATTTGCAATTTAATTGCTTAATTTAAAATATATCTTTATAAAATAGAATATTAGGCAAAGTGAGACATGTAATCATATTAGAATTTAAAAGGTAGAAGAGACAAAGTTTATGAACATAAAATATTAAGCTCACAGTTATCATTTAATTGCTTAGGTTAGGTGAAATAGATGAGACTACCATTTTACACAATCTTTACTATACCTTAAATTTATTTTCTTAATGTTGGAAGAGTTCTATTCAAATATGAATCATATTTCAGCGTGTTTAACTTAATGCATTACTATACTGTTTTGAATTCTACTGTCAATAATTGACTATATTTTTTAGGTTAAACATATTTGCAAAAAGAAAGAACATTAATTTTTAAACATGCTAATCAACTTTGACAGTTTGTTTTGGGAAATAGAAAAGTAAACTTGTATGACTCAACTAAAAGTTTCTCCACCCTAATGCAGACAGAGAACATTTCCAGGAATAGGAATATAAATAAAAATTATCTAGTGCTTTAAGAAATACACCCTGGGATAGATACATTATAGATTTATAGATTTTTAAAGGCATTTTCTTTTTATAGTTACTATATTGATTAAATAAAATATTTCAAGAAGTGTAACCAGAACCAGTTCTTATCTAACATAAAATGGGGCATTTTATTTTATTTTTGGCTTTTGTGAATGAGACCCGCTTGCAGAATTTCCCTAGTTCAAGGTGAAAGGAGCTGATGTTATTGGAATAGTCACCACTTTGGCTACTTAAATGAGGAAAAAAACAACTTATTGCAAGTTGTATATATTTTCTCAAAGTTTGCATTATATGATGTTTTTGTAATGCAGTCCTTCAGGGCCTTTTTATTTTATTATACTTTTTATTTAGTTTAAGTAAGTTAATTGTTAACTGACTTGCTTAAATATTAAGACTCTTACCTGATGAAAGTATGCTGTACATACATACTCTGGTAACAATTATAAAATAACTTTGAAGAAATATCAGAAAATAAACTGTGTTTTGGTTAAGCCCCTCTCTATATATTGCTTTATTTTGAAAGTGTTAGAAATCATATATATGTAGCAATTAAATGATTCTGAATTAAAAATGTAAAACTGTCAAATCAAGTATAATATATTAAGTTTTACAATTACATACTTTTAATATACTAGCTAAAACATTTTAAAAGTTAATACTTTGATATTTCACAGTGGTCCTTTTACAAGATTATGTTCTAATTTCCTCAGATTAACTTTAAAATATTCTGGGAGACAACAATGAATAAATTTATTAAGACCTTCTACAAAATTAACTTAAGTTTTTAAAGGTTATACATATGTGTCAAATTTGGGCATAAGCTTCTTTTCAGAATTCGATGTTAAGTGTTCTTTAAAGCAAGCACAGTATGACTAATTTATAACCAGTCTATAAAAGAATTTTAAGTTTGTTTTTATAGGATCCGAATTTCCAGTGTTTCCAAAATGAGAAGCTCCTTTTTAAAGGACTTAAAAGAAGAAGTTGATTTTATTATGGTCGTCTATTTCTGAGATCTCTAAACCCAGATCCTGTTCAATTTATTAGCAATATATATGAGCAGATCAGCTGCTGGTAGCCTGGTCCAAATCTGAACAAAACAAGTGATTTTAATTATCTATTGAGCTATTTTTAAATGCCACAAATTTCAGGCTACGGGTGTCTCACATTAAAAAACACAGAAAAGAGTGGTTTATTACCTTTGTCTTGTTCCTTTTGTTGCTTTTCCACCTGCGGTGTTGGAGTCCTGCCTGTGAGAGGAAAACCTATCATCTGTAACGTTTTGATCAAATTATTTGTCTCTATCTTATAGTTCACAGGCAATTTCTGTACATTTTCATATCATTAACTTAATTGAAAGCCAAATTATGAAGCCAAATAAGTTAGAGATAAAGTTGTCCTTTTGCTGAGAAGAACAAATTGCTTACTTCACACCTGGAGAATCCGGTTCTGCCAGTTAACCGCCCATTCTTTAGATTAAAGGAAGATCATTTTCATTGGAGCTAGTTGGTAACAGGAAGTCCTTGTTAAACTGCCTACATAGAGTATTTGGCACAGGCTCTGTAATTCCATTTCTATATTACATATAAAATACAGTAGTTAATAGAAAGGGGGTTGTAATTAAACAAAGGTTTCTTTGGGGTTTTTTTAGGTATCAAAACTTGCTAAAATATACAGAATTCAGAATAAATAGGAATGGAAAGAAGCTTGGTGTAAAAGCTTTTTGTTCCATTTACTTTAAAATGATTGAATTCTATTCTATTTTAGGAAATCCCAAAGGCTTCACTCATAAGATCATGATTTTCAGAATGATAACTGCCAGAAAAGAGCTCCTGTCTTTAAACCTTCCACCCCACTTTTCTTGTTATTGTACCTGGTATTTTTATTTTAAAATAAGTTTCTTCCAGAGTTTTCAATATAGAAAAACTAAAGTTGGGCCACAATGTTATGCAGTTTATTTTATCAATATAACAATTCAAAATTAATTTTTACCAGAGTGAGACATTTATTTGAAAAATTAGAAATGAAATGTCTCTAACATTAGTAAATTTCCTTACCGTCCCTTTTTTTTCTGCCTGATTTTTGTGATTTGAGGGTAAGAGGAGGGACACTGGTATAATTTCTATCAAAGTGACATTTGCCTTTATTCTTTGATTTAGTATCCCTACTTCCTGGAATCTGTTCCCAAAATAAGAAATAACTCGTTCCCACAGTTATTCTTCACAGCACTCCTTGTGAAAACAAAACACTGGAAACAACCCAAAAGTTCCTTCAGAGTGGGCCTGGATGAATAAACGATAAAACAGCCTATGAGCATTTTGCTCATTTATAAAGACTATAATAATAAAGAAAATGTCTTTACATTACTTCAGGGTACTTTTAAGATTTACTGTTTAAAAAAAACAGAAGGTGGTACACAAGAGTATATATAACATTCTGGTTTTTGAGAAAGCAAGGGAGTGTGGAGACACACATACACAAACATCTCCCAATCAGTCAATAGCAGTGAATATCTATAGGGCCCAAATTGTGACCTTTATCGTTTTCCACAAACACATGTTTATATTTTCAAAAAGAAATAATGGGGGGGGGTGATGGTGAACTAAAAAGGAATGAAAAGGGTTACTTATAGGAGAATGGATGGAATAGAAAGAAGAAAAGGGACCGAGTTGGGTAATACTTTTGGTTGTACTTTGTTTTTATAGTTTTGACTTTGGAACCACATAAATGTTTTAAAAATTCAATCTTAAAATAAAAAAGAAACCAAAAAGCAAAAGCAGCCTGAAAAAGCGAACCTAGCTATATATCTAGATGGTGTTGTAACCAGAGAGGGATTATTTAATTAATTTTAAAGTCAGTATTTTGACTGTGCATTTCTTGTGGAATATATTTTAGAGACAAGAATAATCACAAAGAGATTTTAACCTACATTTAGTAATCTTATTTTTAATAATATTGGCATTGTTATCGGAGAAATGTGTGGATAGTCTTTCTCCATAGTGGGAGTGGGGTTCTTGGAGTGCTGCTGCTGGAATAAGCATTTCCGGAGGCACTCACAGGAGGATGAGATGTGGTAGAAAGCTTTATTTGCGTGGAATTATACCCCTCTGTTTCCAAAGTCCCATTTCCCTTAATCCAGTCCTGGATAATGTGCAGCTGAGGATTCAGTAGAGCTAGAAGCAAAGCCAGTGTCCAGAGTTTCTGTTCCATGTTGGAGCTGGGTCTGGTTTTGCATGAGGCTAGTTGCAGTCCAATAGTCCATTGTGTGTGTGGTCTGGCAAATGCAGGAGCATGAGAGTCCTGCAAGCCAAGAGCAGGAACCAAGAAGCAAGAGAGCAAACTCCTTTGTTTAGGAGCTTAGATATCTCAAATCTTCCTATACTTGCAGTGGCCACACCTATCCTGGCCAATGACCTGTCCCCAGGTGTGACTGACAGGCAAGTAAGTACCTTCCCTATTTACCCAGACTTCATTGGGCATGCCTCTAATATTTGGCCTTTCCTTTGCCCCTTTCCAGTTACTCATAAGAGTATATTACAACGAGTTAATTACAACGATATCATTATTCTTGTGTTGAAATTTATATATATTGTAGGACTAGAGGCCCGGTGCGTGAAATTCATGCAAGGGAGTGGGTCCCCTCAGCCCAGCCTGTACCCTCTCCAATCCGGGATCCTTCGGGGGATGTCTGACTGCCGGTTTAGGCCGGATCCCAGGGATCCGGCCTAAACCAGCAGTCGAACATCCCTCTTACAATCCTGGACCACTGGCTCCTAATTGCTCACCTGCCTGCCTGCCTGGTTGCCCCTAACTGTCCCCCCTGCCAGTCTGGTTGCCCCTCACTGCCTCTCTGTTCTGGCCTGATCTCCCCTTACTGCCCCCCCCCCACCGGCCTGCTCACCCCCAACTGCCCCCCCCTCCACTAGCCTAGTCCCTCACTGCCCCCCCTGCCGGCCAGGTTGCCCCCAACTTCCCCCTCCATGCTGGCCTGGTCACTCCTAACTGCCCTCCCGCTGGCCTGGTCACCCCTAACTGCCCCCCTCTGCTGGCCTGGTTGCCCCTAATTGCCCCTGCTGCCGGCTTGTTTGCCCCAACTGCCCACCTCCACCAGCCTAGTTGCCCCTCACTGCCCCCCCTGCCAGCCTAATCGCCCCTAAATGCCCCCCTGCTGGCCTGGTCACCGCCAACTGCACCCCCCCCTGCTGGCCTGGTCACCCCCAACTGCCCCCCTCTGCCGGCCTGGTCGCCCCTAACTGCCCCCCCTGCTGGCCTGGTTGCCCCCAACTGCCTCCCCCGCTGGCCTGGTCATCCCCAACTGCCCCCCCTTCTGGCCTGGTTGCCCCTCAGGGCCCCCCACTGACCTGGTCGCCCCATGCAGCCTGCTGTTCAGTTGTTTGGTCGTCCTTCACTAACCCCTTTGCCAGCCTAGTCGCCCCACGCAGCCTGCTTGTTCAGTTGTTTGGTTGTCCCTCACTAACCCCTCTGCCAGCCTAGTCATAGGCAGCCATCTTGTGAGGGTGTGATGGTCAATTTGCATATTACTGTTTTATTATATAGGATAAAGCAAATAGTCAATGTCAGTGTTATTAGGAACTATAGTTTTCAGCATAAGAAAAAAGTGATACAATTTAAGAAGTTAAGTAGAACGTGGTAATATTTGATTAAAAATGGAAAAATTAATATGGGCTTATGATTTAAAATTTTCTTTCTTAAAGAAACTACACCCCTCCCCTCAGTTTTGTCCACTGAAAGGGTCTAGAAAACAATGGCAACTCAAGAGCAGTAAATGTTCATAGCACCCAGATTGTGGTCTTTAAAATATCAGTCCTCACTGAAAGGAACAAGGGCTCCCTAGGGAGATGGATGATTCCATCTGGAATATTGGAATATTGTTTCTTACAAAAAAGCAAGAAGATATCAAAGACTTTGGAAGTTGTACAGGAAGAACACAGAAGCCAACACCATGGGGACTCCCACTGACCAAATTGTGTAACTTTGAGCCTCAAAAATAACCCCCCTCCCACCACTCAATCTTCAGTATGGGCAGTGTGAGAGGCAGCTGATCAATGTTTCGCTCTCACATCAATGTTTCTTCTTCTCTCCCTCCCGTTTCATCTCTTTCTCAAAATATCAATGAAAAAAATCTTTAAAAAGTAACTACAGTAGAGTGAAACATATATTTTAAAAATCTATTTCATAATTGTGTGCCCCACAAACCAAAGAAAGCAACTTGATCACGTTTGGAGGTTGATAGAGCATCAATTTATTATTATGAAAATTAGGAAATGAAGCCAAAGGATCACAGGTTTACCTCGACTTTTCTCTGAATTGCATTTAAGTAAGAGTCAGCAAGTAGTTGATGAAAGCTTACTTTTTAGCAAAAATTCGGCCAGTAAATGCAAAAGGAATATAGAACTAGAAAAGTCATATTTTATAAGCTCTTATAAAATAATGGAATTTAGCAAAGGTCATCAGTGGATACTAAATTCATTAGATGGAATTATTTTGGCTGAATCAGGCTGACTCCAGCTGAATCCACTGATCCGTTTTACATCACTAAATGGTACAACCAGATGCCTTCAAAGTAACCAGCACCATGTGGATAATTTAAAAAAATATATATATATATATATTTTTGTTGTTGTTGTTGATTTCAAAAAGGAAGGAAGAGGGAGAGAGAGGTAGAAACATCAATGATGAGAGAGAATCATTGATCGGTTGCCTCCTGCCCAACCCCAGCCAGCAAACCAGGCATGTGCCCTGACTGGGAATTGAACCCTGACCTTCTGGTTCATAGGTTGACGTTCAACCACTGAGCCATGCCAGCCGGGCCATGTGGATAATTTTTAAAAATAGATGATAAGGGTTCATTAGACAGCGTGTTATTAAACTTTTTGACCTCTGCCATCTGATAGCAAATTGTGTTATTTTTTGATAACTCTTTTTTTTTTTTTTTTAAAGAACTTGTTTTGGCCAAACTGGTTTGGCTCAGTGGATGGAGCGTCGGCCTGCGGACAGAAGGGTCCCAGGTTCGATTCCGGTCAAGGGCATGTACCTTGGTTGTGGGCACATCCCCAGTAGGAGATGTACAGGAGGCAGCTGGTCGATGTTTCTCTCTCATCCATGTTTCTAACTCTCTATCCCTCTCCCTTCCTCTCTGTAAAAAAATCAATAAAATATATTAAAAAAAAAAAAAAGAACTTGTTTTGGTCTGGCTGGCATGGCTCAGTGGTTGATTGTCAACCTATGAACCAGGAGGTCACAGTTTGATTTTCAGTAAGGGCACATGCTCGGGTTGCATGCTCGATCCCCTGTTTGGGACGAGCAGGATGCAGCGGATCAGTGATTCTCTCTCATCGTTGATGTTTCTCTTTCTCCCTCTCCCTTCCTCTCTGAAATCAATAATAATAATAAATTTATATATATATATAT